GTTGTATCTCCTCATTTCCATTGATATTTGACTGGTCTTCCCGGTTTCCCACATTGTTCGAACGTTCCATGTACCTATAAAAATTTTTGCCCTGGGAGTTAGAAGGGGCATCGGCCTCGTGGCTTCCGAAGGAACTCGGCTTTCACCATGAAGCGTCATAATTCTTCTAAATGAAGACCTTCTAACTCCCAGGGCAGAGTTAAAATGGTTTGGATTATTTTTTCTGGTAAGCGTTTTTTTAGCGAGTTAGTTTTCTACGGGATGGGGACGCTATCCCCATGCCCAACCTTCCTCCTTTACCCGGGCTTGGGACCGGCAGCAACCCTATAAGAGCTACAGGCGGGGTTAACTGAACCAACGGAGGATTATTATTATTATTTGGACACATGAATATTGGTACAAGAGAGCGGCAATATATATGCGCCACACGGAGGAAAATGTAAGACACTGTGAATGCAAGTAGAGGTAATGTGCCGTAATGTTCTTCAAGCAATTACCACTTACTGGAGAGCAGTAAAATTGTACAAACTCGTTAGACATAATCTACATTATGAGCCACATAATCTGTGGTTGAGATTGAGAGTGACAATCATTTAAAACACCACACCACTATTCTTGAGCTTTTATTGTTTTATACGTATGGAAACATCAACTCCCACGTCGATAAATCAGAATGATCTGATCCACATGTAAAGGCAAGGATTGGCAAATCAAGGGCAACATTCCTACAACTGAAGAACATATAGAATTCGAAGCAAACTCAAGCAACAAATAAATATATGGATTAGTGTTCAACGTTCGGTTTATCGAAAAAGCACTTGCAATCGTCTTTACTTGAATTTCAATAGATTCTGTCCAATCAGTTGTAAGAAAGCGTTAGTCAACGCACTATTTTATAGAGTAGAAAAGATACGTACCACCAAGAAACTGGAGGAAGAATTGAGGAACGTTGAGAAATACCTGTGAGACAACTGCTGCTCACGGAAATTCATCAAAAAGTATAAAAGAAAACCCGAAAACAACAAGACAGATGTGACCACAGTCGATAAAAAAACCAATATTTATGAATCCGAGCTTCAAAGATGAAACGTCGCAAGCACATTCAACACGAAGCTTATCACTGAGTTAGCAAGCACCTACCGTGAAACCAAACTAGTAATCCTGTATAAACCATGCTTAATAACCCGATCTAAGGTCGACAAGTAACCCTTCGATTATATATCCAAAAGAATTCAAGAACATTGTCCGGCGTGGCTAAGAAGAGGAGGCAGCGGTTCAATAAGAAGTTCTATAATCGAACACCTTGTGAACACAGGTCACTCAATCAAGACAGACTCTGCGTTCAAAGTCATCTACAAGGTAAGTAGAAACCTTCCTAAGACAATTAGACTACATCTCCTTTGCATTGCCGAGGCAATAGCCATACATTTTGAAAAACCAGAATTATGTATACAAAAGAGACTGGTACAACCTCTTCTTTTACCGTGGTCTTAATGTATTAAAATTTTTTCTCTTTTTTCTCTTTCTCATTACTCTTGTTCTTTTACAGCCACCTGCTTCACCTCCCATCTTCCCTTCAAATCTTGTACCCCCAACCGGTTTGTTTTTATTTCAACGATCATTCCGATTACATTTCATCTCTGTTTCAACATTTTATGTTATTTTATCATGCTGAGCTACTCTTACCCGATGACTATCTAAGCCATTATCTATTAAACTTTCCTTGTTTTTAAAAAAAAAAAAAAATTTTTTTCTAATACCTTTGTTTATTTAACCTCACTGTCACCATGTATATCATAAGTTTATTATCAGTATTATTATCACCCTGTATAAATAAGTATATATATTTGCGATTGTACAGCTTTGAAAATGAATTCGCCGAAAAGAGAACTCTTCGCTGAACTAATCTTTCTTTCTTATTTAATGTCATAATGGGTGTATTCCGTTTACCATCAATTGTGTCTATAAATTTAAAAGAACTTGTCGAAGCAGCTACATTGGGCGAAAACAGAAGGTATACATTAGATTTTATGAACACGTCACGAAAAGCCTTCAAACAACAGAAAGAACCACAATCACTAAACATCTATTGAACATAGGAACAATCAGTGTGTTTTATTCCTTTGTGGAGATTCGAATTTATTTAGGTCATCAAAATTTGCAATCACTAGACGGCATTTTGGCTCGTATCAGTGAAACATAGTACTATAAGCAGGTAGGAAATAACAATAAATGTGAGTTCTGTTTACCCCAAACACTTGCATGTATAAAACAAATGTGTAAGTTAAAACACATTGCATTACACTCTTATCATCACTTTGAATTCTGATGTTAGTCAAGAATTCAATGCGCCCTATGATTAAAATTGTCCAGATAAGCAGATGGGATTCGAAATGACAAGTTAATTCCTATCTCACATCTACACTAAGGTTCACACAAGATTCAGAAGGGCTACACTGAACTGATTAGGCGCGGATCAAGCATTACGACAGCCTTCGAATAGCATTTCCCATTCAAGTAAAACTGATCTCAAGAGTGACAGACCGATTTCATATCAAAAATTGTTTCGTATCCACTGATTGGAAAATGCAACCTTCAACATGATAAATATTTCGATTCTTTCTTCCTTCCGTTCCATAAAACCTGTAACAAAATATTTCATTGACGTTGTAGTGAGGAGCGGAAAATGAGAAAACCACTTTCCTCAATAGTATCGTCTAAGCATTTGAAGAAGACCAACAATTAAGTCGAGTGCGACCATGGTATTTATGAATAATCTAAAATGCACATCTAATATATAATTCCTGCTCGATCTTTGATAAATAATACCATTTGCCGTTAAATGATAGAGATCCTCACATTTATTTACAAATGTAAACCGTGCACTAGTAGATGTCTTCGCAGAAACTAAAGAACTATTTTTCCAGTCGTTCCCTGCTGTTGTTTAGGTCTATCTATCAAAACAGCTTTCCACCCCAACGGAAGAGACTTCATCGACAGTAGTTCATAGCTTATGAGAAGAAAACAGTGTACAATAAAAAGTGACTTATATAAATTACTGTGAAATATTAGTCATTTAAGCAAAATGAATAAAAGGACTCCAGAAAATGTTTTACTGTTTCGCATAAGTAAGACTATGACAGTTTATGAGCTCAGTGGTATTTACATGTCATTAATTTAACACAGCATTTAGTAATAAAGAATATTTTCAAATTCTACTTCTGGATAAACGATACCCATTCGTCGATAAGTGCTTCCGAAGTTTTCCACACATGATCGAAAATTTCATCATTTAATGCTTGGGAGTTACATCTGCGTGGCCGACACTCAGAATAAAATGCACCAGGAATGAGATTGTTATCAAGAGCACAAAATACTGTTGTCTGAGCACCTTCACGGGATGTTTTTGTCAACCATCGAAATAAATATTAGACTAGAAACTAAAATTAAAACAAATCTTAGTCGAACAGTAAAAGCTAATTAGTTTACAAATGCGCGTCAATACATTATAAATTCTCTCAAACACATGCATTTCATCACATATTAATCAGTAAAATCGACGTAAACAGCTTCACTGTAACAGTTCCGAAATACTGTCTTACATTCTACGATAAACAGGTAGATGCATGCACACGAGTACGCAGAAACAAATTGACCACTTATTTACCTTTCAACAACTCCATTTATATTACTATTTATTCAAGCACACAAATATTGTTACAAATGGCGACCAAAGTAGATGTGCGTTACACAGATAAGACAATAAGATTGTGAAGTAAAAGAAGGAGAGGAAGTATGACCAATTAAGTAAATGGCAGTAGAGGAGAATAAATTATGATAGGAGAGACGGATCAATTTAACAGATCACAATTAGAACGAATTCTTTTAGGTGACGAAGTTCCTCTTACATTTTGAAGTATAAAAGGAAATTACAGCAAGATCACCGCTGATTCCTGTTATGGCTCATATATGATAACGTATTAACACAAAGACGGCCCAGATTGACATAAACCACTTTGAGCTCTAATATTTGTAGATTTATCTCATCAGCCACACTACCACCAACGCCAAAACACCCTTAAAGGTTCACTACAAACAGTGAGTGTGGGAACAGGTTTTTGCTAGTCTTCCAAAGGCACTTTGTATCTTAAAGGCCCACACACATTCCATACCTAAGAACATTGATCGTCAACTGATTAAGTGCGATTTGAATAGTTGGGGTATTATCGTACCACCACGACATTTGTTTTAGGAGTTGTGATGCACGATAGTCGATAATGTTGATGAGACCTGGAAGGTTCTGTTTCAAACATAAGAAATAACAGTGTTCAGATGAAATTATACGGTTTTCCGTATCATTTAGGAATATTACTGTTGTCTAGCATTACATAAAAGAAACGGGGAATTCGGTGGAACTGGTTACTTAGGTTGTAGTTGCGCGAGCATTTTGGATTTACAAAGAGACCAGTAGCTTGAACTCAATCAAAGTGTCTATTCCACAAATTTTGAGCATTCCTGAAAACACTCAAAACTATGAGGAAGTAGGAATTCCCTTTATATTCAACGTTGTTTGTAAAACATTCATCGAAAGAATTCCGATTCAAGTCTTCAATTTGTATAAATTTCACTAACAAACTCATTACTTAATCCTTGTCTAGTGGTGATCACTTCGTCATCTTTTCATTCTTCGGTAACCACATTTATTTACTATTGCTGTGCTAACTGTACGGATAGAGTTGAAGCCAACGTCATCATCAGCTGTTTGGTAGTAATCTTCGTCAGGTTTCGCAACATCACAGTTTAGTTCACAGTGGAGATCAGTTAACTAAACCTCAAAAGAGAGTTTGTTTGAGATTGTTGCCGTAAATATGGAATACTTATGTAATAAACATTCGGGTCAACATAAACAGGCATCACTTAAACACACACGGTATGTATAAACAAGGAGTTCGCTTTATAATCAAAGGAAAAAACACTGGATATAACACATAATACGAACATCAACTCACATATTTCCCTTTGCATGAACGAAAAATGGATGTTCTCACTAAGCCTGGATGAACGCTGACTGAAATAATTCCATCTTCAGACCAACGTTTACAAATCTCACGTGCATGAATCACATTTAACAGCTTACTAATAGCATAACCAGAGCCTACACCTGACAAGAATCCGCTATTCGGGTGTAATTTAGCAAGCCAATGTAACAAAGATGACAGAATGATTACACGACAAGGTTTCCCATCAGATGCATGCAAACACGGCTTTAATAATTTAATGAACAGAAAATGACCCAAATGATTCACTTTCAAGTGTTTCTCAATTCCAAGCTCATCGTAAATCTTCTCTGGAAAATCTGCCCCAGCATTATTAATTAAGATGGAAATTGATTTTTCTCTACTAATGATACGATTCGCAAACTCTCGAATAGATTTTGGCGACTCCAGATCCAACTCTTCACAAATAAGCTATTGAAAACGAGATAATAATTACAAGGTTTACTCATGTCTCAATAACAATCTTTCAACAAACAACTTTAAACAACAAATAACATCGACTAAATAAAACCTAGGGAGTCACTGAAGATGGTAGTGGAGCGGTGAAATAGTGGTTTAAGCACTCGAATTACAGACAATACATAACAGGTTTGGATCCTGCTCCATCTAATTCCATCTGAGCATGATTATCATGAGTAAAAAAGCATCACGTTAGTAAAACAATCACAATTAACATACTTGATCTGGTTCCAGATGAACACTCAACACTGATGGCTTCTCATTACAAGTTCTAGTCAGAAGCTCCTGTCGAGCCAACTCGCACTTCCTTAGATCTCTGCATGCCATTATAACGCGGGCCCCACGGCGAGCCAACTCATCCACCGTTTCTAATCCAATACCAGTATTGCATCCCGTAACAATAACTGTTTTACCATCCAAACGATCTTCAAGAGTACACTCACAATGACCGAAGTATTTTCTCTTAATGATATACAATGTACTAACAGCAACAACAATCCATATGTACGGACAAAGGAAACATACAGAAACATAGGAGAACAACTGATCCATCCTCAAATTTGTTCTTAAAACTGAAACAGAAGTTCAATTATCTATATTCACTTTCAAACATGTAACGTAAACATAGTTTTTATAACAAACAGACAGGTTTCGAGAATACTTGGACTGATTGCTCGATTGTCGTGTCTATGTTAAATGATTCAAACCCCTAGATTGGTCCTCGTCAATTCAAGCCCCGTGTCACCTAGACGAGATATTTATCTGCCAGCTAAAGAACCAGCTTAACCCATAGCACTTCTTTGTGCTGCTTAATTGGTGTGAGACGTGGTCACCAAGAACAGAGGATATTTCTAGATTACTAGTAATTGACCTGTAGGGCCAGTGAAATGTCACTGAGCCCTAGCCAAATCATCCGGCAGTTGGATCACTGAATGTCGAACAGATCATCGCTCCCTGCCAAGGTCATGTACAAGCAACGCGCATTAGTTAATCATACGCCATGGACTGGCCCATGCGGCAGTGGTCTTACTTTCGCCTGTATCTACCTTAACTAATATATTTCTGTAATAACGTCCTTTGTGTTGTACAGTCTTCAAAGCATCTATAGTACCTTGTTACGTCAATGGGGGTAGTCCACGTAAGGTGCTGACCACGAGGTGTGACTTCGACGTTAGTTGGTTCGTCACACTATTCACGTCTAACTCGAGTAGGCCTCCAATCATTTTTTAATGATACGGCGACCACCGAGATCTACACTGGTGAGCAAGACTTCGAATAACGCAACCTATCACTATAATCTTTATTATTGTATTCTATACTTATTCTTTTTCATTTTTATCATCGCCTATGTTAATCTATCACTGTGAACTTTCGTTGCTTCATGTCAATGTTGATTAGTATTTAAACTTATATACTTCGTTCAATCGACAGAACTAACCAATCAACTACGATTATAATCGGCTATCGTGGTTCTTTAACAAGCATTAGCAGCATGTAAATGCTCCTGTGTAATATGTCTGTTAAAATATCAACCACTCGTGAGTATAGCCACAAGGCAACACGAACGCATATCTCTTTGTACCTTATCCACTGGTATAAATAAGACAAGATTAACTATCGACTATAAATTCATCTTTCTGCTTAACCACTATCCACTAGAATGTTCTGCTTTTTTTACCACTGCCTGCCTAATTTCCAATTGCTGAGTTCCATGGCCAAACAGAGGATACGAATGCTAGAAATTCACGGTGAGTTTGAACTATAAATTTCCTGCGATCTTAGATCTCGTTTAGACTGTTCGTCAGGTAATGCTATGTATTCGGCTTACATTAATTCTGGACTTATACAAATTCAGTCTACAACGTTGTGTTAACCGAAAAATTTAATCAACAGTACCTCGTACATAATCCAGATTCAAACTACTGCCTACTTCATTACTTAAAGGCAAGAGTAACCCAGGCGAGTTTCATAATTTCATTAGATTATTTCTTACTATATTTATGATGCGTGATAACATTTCGTAGTTGCTTTTACGTAAACTAGTCATATATTCTGTCACTGCTGTCAAGTTTTAGTCGAAATCATGTACATTTATGACTCGTTAGTCGACATACTGGGGTAAAACATATTGCATGTACACGAGCACGCTTGGTCCATGTCCCAAGTACACATGTTGTCGTACTTAATATGTCACTTAATGCTAGGTAATAAGCTCTTTGTATCATCCTTTTACGAAATGGCCACGTTACCTGGACCCTCTAAACCTTAGTTACATTGGTGGTTACCATTTTAATTAATGTTTATTATACCCCTTGTATTTGCTAATAATTCACACGGTAAATCATGGCTCGATTTCCTTATTACACGACAGTCATTTTAATTCTATTTTCGGTTTATTTACATGCGATACGGGTTTGGAAAATATCTAAACGTCCTCGAAAATTCTCCACGAACCCAACCATAGTTTTCGTATATGTTTTTATTCACACATCCAACTGTTACGCTAATCATACCTAAACGAACGTTCAGTGCAACTGTCAGTATACGTAAGAACGATGTTATTTAGACTTGACATTGTAAAACATCTGAACTATTGTAGTTGTTCTACTTCGATGTCGTACTTCATTTTATGAAGTATTGTTTCCTCGTGGCTGTTATTTAACAGATGATTCCGGTACATCAATAGGCTGTTCAACTACTCGACGATTTACAACCTGTCCAGTTCAATTGGTGGTCTGACGACAATATCATTCGCGCGAATCATCAGTTTATGCAGTCGAGCGAATCTCCTGCAAACTGAAAACGATATTTTCGCCTCTATCCCAACACTGACAGCGTTTTTCACGGGTATCATTGACATGAGTCCAGAGTGACACTCTTGGTTTCTTATGTTCTTTTCGATATTTTTCTGTTCACTAACCGAACAAACACGCAACACTTACCGTTTATCATCTTTTAGAGACTTCATCATGCCACCTTTTGCTGTCGATTTGTAGCCTTCAACCCTTACTGACTGTAACAGCAGTCATCGACTTTTCAAACTGTGACTACAAGTTGGTCAATAGCTTCGCACAACGAAATCACGACCACTCTTCACTGTTATACTTCTGTACTTACGGTTAGTCTGTTAGATATAGATATAACTAGAATTTGACACTAATTAATAGCTGTCAACGACACTGTCCGACTTACAACTTTAAACTAATGACAGTACAAATATGGATATCGATTGATAATACACTTATCCTACTATCGCTATAGCATCATTACTCTTGCGGCAGACTTAACGTTTGTCATCGGAGGAACCGAATTACTTGTCAAGGCTATACATTTCAGCGCGACTTGATAGAACAATAAAACGTTTTGTTCTTTTCATTATTTCTATGGTTAATCGCTTTACGCTTAACCAACGTCCTACTAACATATTATGACTCGCTGTTTCCCGACCAGTTTCTGCCGCCTCCTTTCCATTTCTTTTACAGATAAGCAATACCTGGAGGATTTATAATATTCGTTTGGCACTCTCTGTCGCGCGACTGCTCCCAACATGTTTGGTACCGATTCAAACGGCCGTTGAATCTGGTGAGGGAGTATTGTAGGGCCAGTGAAATGTCACTGAGCCCTAGCCAAATCATCCGGCAGTTGGATCACTGAATGTCGAACAGATCATCGCTCCCTGCCAAGGTCATGTACAAGCAACGCGCATTAGTTAATCATACGCCATGGACTGGCCCATGCGGCAGTGGTCTTACTTTCGCCTGTATCTACCTTAACTAATATATTTCTGTAATAACGTCCTTTGTGTTGTACAGTCTTCAAAGCATCTATAGTACCTTGTTACGTCAATGGGGGTAGTCCACGTAAGGTGCTGACCACGAGGTGTGACTTCGACGTTAGTTGGTTCGTCACACTATTCACGTCTAACTCGAGTCGGCCTCCAATCATTTCGACATAGATCATCTACGTTGGTGATCTACAGACCACAGATGTCTTCGAAGCACCTATGATGTATTTTGGGATAACTGACTGAGAAATCGTGGGGTTATGTGTAGGCTACCAGGGAAGATGGTAAACCCATCGATGATGTAGTGAAATTCCACAGATTGAGGTGATTGCAACACACTTTACGTATACCTAACTACCACCTACCTCGGTGAGTGATTTTATCTGACGCAAGAGTAGACTGAGAGAAAGCTAAGGCCCACTACAAGACGTAGCACACTTCTATGAAGTCATTGACAAGGGGACTGAGTTATGTTGAAGGGTTTAGGATACTTGGTTGGAATCTATGCGACCACTATGTTAATGTAGTATGGCGACTCGAACCAAGCGCCTTGCTTTCATGAAATATGTTATCGATATTGGTAAAGGCGATATCACTTTCAAAATATGAAGCTTCTAATCCTCCTCTACGTTTCTGGCCTCTGTACCTGCTATCAGTCTGGAGTTTTCGAAATTGAGTTTCCCATGGTCAAGAAATTGGGTTTGACAAGTATCTCTGACTGTAAGTGCACCCTATCTAGTAGAGTTTGTCTGTACGCCTAGCTCGTCTCAATTTATTCCCGTTTTACAGTACTCAACATTCGGACAGTTGGATATCAGATTCAGCAGCCGAATCTGATATCCATCAGGCGAGTCTGGCGATGTTTGTATATGCACTTCTCACAGGGTGACCTCAGAAACATACTGCGGCCTTAGTTGATTAAGTAGGCCTTTTATGTCTAATAGACTTCTCTAACGAGGTTACTCGCATACATGTCCAAAAGAAACTAGTGGTTATGCTATATTTCGATATTAAGAAAGCTTTTAATAAAGTACTTCATAACCTCCTAACAACCAGACTTCAGTCAACTGGAATTACAAACACCCTATTGCAATAGATCAAGTCTTTTCTCACAAACAGATACCCATTAAATAAGATTAACTCTACAACATCTACACCTCGACCAATAACCAGTTATGTTGTGCAGGGTAGTGTCTTGGGTCCATTGCTCTTTACAATCTACATGCAAGTACTTTAGCACAGGTAGTACCTACCTCTACGCTGATGACTTAAAAGTCATCTAGAAAACTGACATTTGCGATGTACGCAGTACTAAGCAAACAATCCAACACCAACTCATCATGGTAGACGACTGTTGCAAACGCTGGAGGTTAGAGCTCAACACAGAGAAATGCGGCTGGTTATGCATGGGAGACACGTCTCTTAAAATAAAACAAGCATTTAAAAACGACACACTGCCCAGACTGGCATCAGTAACTGGCCTAGGCGTATGTTACTCACACAATCTTAACTTCTCTGAACATGTCTCAACTAAAGCATCTAAAATGCGGAAATTGCTTGGCTTCACTATTCGTAATTTGGTTCAAAATGAATCTAAAATCATTCCTTATATAATCTGTGTAAGACCTTTCGTTGAATATTGTTCGTTCATATTTTCCAACCTACGCCCACCTGATATATATGCTGAGATTGGATCTGGTGTGCAACGTGAACACGATGACACTTTGGAAAATATTCTAATGACTACTCAGTATACCTGAAGGAATGA